TCCGAAAGTTGGCGACGTGCATTGCGTTGAAAACTATAGGCCGATTTCTCTGCTATGCATAGTCAAAATTATATAGAACAATAAAATCGGATGCGGATACTGAAAATGTACAGTTAGATTTAAATGAAATGAACCTCCTGGACAGAAACGTGGCGTATGAAATTTAATACAAATAAATGTAAAGTTATGAGGTTGTCGCGAAAAAAAATCCAGTCGCACGTGAGTGATTACATATTGGGACACGAATCTCTCGAATTGGTAAAAACCACCAAAGATCTTGGAATAACTGTGAGTGACGATGTTTGTTGGGGGAAGCATATTGCAGAGATTACGGCAAAAGCAAATCAAACACTCGGGTTGATCAAAAGAACCTGCAGAGATTTTGAAGATCAAACTGTCAGGAAGCTCCTCTACCTTACATTGGTTCGGCCGCAGCTGGAATTTTCATCAGAGTTGTGGTCCCCGTCAGAAGTAAAATACCAGCTTATGTTGGAAGCGGTGCAACGACGAGCTACAAAGTTTATTTTAAATTACCCTGACACTGGATATAAAGAACGTTTGATAAAACTTAACCTTCTACCACTTGATGTCAGGAGAAGTATGAAAGACTTGTTATTCTTTCATAAATGTAGAACAGGTCTATTGGATATACATTTACCAGATTATGTACAAAGTCGACTTGCTCCTAGATATAACATTAGGTCACATGACGTGAATAATTTCACTGAATTTAAATGTAGAACTGAATACTTTAAAAACTCGTATTTTCCACGAGCTGTGACAATGTGGAACTCGTTAGATAGTGATCTCAAAGCAATTGACAGCTCTAGTATTTTTAAGTCTAGACTTCTTAAGAAATTTTATATAGAACTTAATGTTTATGAACTGCCACATAAGTAGTTTGCAGAGTGTTCCACTAGTTGTTAATATGTATATATAAATATATAGTAGCAAATGTTAGGTATATATAAACTCTTTAATAGGTTTTTAAATTGGTAGTCATGTTCAATTGGGGCAATGCCCTGTTTGGCCACCAGTTGTTTTTTTAACTAATTACTACATTCTTGTATTTAGCAGTATATATAGTAGTGCTTGGATGATGCAAGTGTGTATGGTTTTTCTTCTAAAGCAACAAAGTTATTAAACTAAACTAAACTAAACTATTTAATATCTATTTATTTTCCTATTTAATAACTATTTTAACAATACTCAATAAGGGACCGGTCATTATTTATGGTGGGGGGTGGCACCGAAGAGAAAAGGGTTGGGTAAACTAAATTTTGAGTAAGTAAAAGGTTGGGTAAATGAAAAACAAAACAACTCAAGGGTTGGGTAATAAAAAATTATTGTCATTTCCAAAGCATGACTAACTGAAGTATTGGAGACTAAAAAGCAATGGCAACAGTAGGCCCTACTACTTTGGGGCGATAACGAGATAAGCAATTTTAGGTATGTGATTTAAGCAAAATCTGCAATTTTTAAGCAATGTGTGTTTGAGCGATATGAAAGAAAACAATTAAAATTTTAGGGAATTCTGTTTTAGGTGTTTAGAGGTAATTGCAGGAATATACAACTATATCCCTGATGACTCCAGTGAAATTACCATTAACTTATCCCAAGCATCCAAACATGAGTGTTCCCACAAATACACATGTGTGCAGTGTATGAAGCAAAATATACAATTTGACAAGAAAAGTTGAAGTCTGCTTGAGGTGGTTCTGGTAACAAACAATACACTGTATGCGCATGACGATCAAGTGTTTAAAGGGTAAATCAGCTAAATATTCATGACTTTTTTCATCCATTGTCTATTTCGAAGCCATTGAGGTATTATTAAATTCATGACACAACTATAATACATGACAACATCATATGCAATTGCAAACAATTTTCAAAGGAGTAGGGTACAGAATTGCAATATAAAACATATAAGTAAATTATACATGTCATGAACTTACCAGTTTGTGTTGAGTTAAATTTAAAAATTTTTATGACATCAAATATTATTTATTTATTTGCAAATCAAAACATTTTTAAAAAATTCTCGTGTTTTGTTTTGTATTGTGCCCGCGATATATTAATGGTATTAACCGCTGTGAATATGATATACATTTTTAATACATTACATTTGCGCTCAAAAGTTCAGGAAGTGAGTTTCTAGAAAGGATGAAAACTCCGTTTTATATATGGTATGTAAAAGGTAATCATTGTTTAGGGGCCATTCACAAAGGATGTCCGGCCAAATGATGGATTTTCAGACCCCCCCTCCCCCCCTTGTCCGACATTGTCCGAATTAGTGACCCCCCCCCTCCCCCCGGACATCCGCCATGCCTCGCAAAAACTCACGCAACCTTGTATATATCAAGAGTAAAAGGCTTTTTTACTTTTAGAACTTTTTTATAACTGTAAATGTGAACACAAAAACATATAAATTACTAATTAAAACAAAATCTAGTGTTAACCGCATAGTCAAAATGCCAATTTCACAATGGGAAGGACTGCTCAAAATACAGGGAAAAAGAAATTTATTTTTGAATTTTTTTAAATTTCGGACATCCGGATTGCTAAAACCCCCCCCTCCCCCCTATGTCCGAGTTTGTCCTGATTTTCCAAACCCCCCTCTCGGCTCGGACAACCTTTGTGAATGGCCCCTATGGGGAATTTAAGCGATGAGAGTTGCAAAACTTGCAAATGTAGTCTGACTTGTCTATTTGACGTCATCATGCAACTATTTAATATTGTGCTACATTCATTATTCAATTTATTCACAGCAATTAGCCTTCTATAAACCATACAAATGATTATTGCTTGTAGCCCACCTTGCCTTTAACATTGATCCTATCTAATGAATTAATATAACTAACTTGATTATGTTGCTAGTCAAGTATGGGACCTTTGGGTCTTTTATATCAACACGAGTGGAAATTGGGATAACGAGAAATTAATTGTGTGGAAACACGACGCCCGAAAAAATATAGCACATAGAAATACTAGAAAATACATGCATGCAGAAACCCTCGCCTTGCTGACAAAACCATTGTATTCTCCGAACATGAAGTATGTAAAGTAGTTGTCATGGTAACAGGATAATTTTTTAAGAATATTCTTACAAATGAAAAATCGCCTAAAAATGTCACTTTTAATTACAAAATTATTATTTTCCCAACATATATATGTTAGGTATGTTATTATACGTAATATAAGCCTCAATTTAAGGTAAAATTCAACCACAAACGCTTCGCGAAACGTTTTCAAAGTCACTATAGTGTTATAAAACTAAACTGCCTTTTAAAATGGCTTTATCGATAAACTTTGAGTTTGCAAATAACTTTGCTTTCTTTTTTATTTAATAAAAATTCAATATCATAAGAAAGGAATCAATATTAAAGATACACTGAAATTATATGCTGTTTTGTTTAGTTGTTTCATATATGCAAAGGCCGTCGGGTTTTAAATCCATTATAAAATCAATATTTAAAACAAACTTACCTTCGTTAACGTCGGCTCCCTTCTTTTAGCCGATTCTTTCGCTGTTTCTTTTTCAGAAAGCATTTGAAATTTACAAAATCTTGCAAAAATACGAGCAAAATGAAATATATTTGCAAGAAATTTATCAATCATCAAATCAAGAAATGTTTGCTATTTTGCTGTCATCATGCAGTCGTTATAATGCAAACTTTAAATTGGACCAATCAGTGTCCGCTATTCGTAATAGTCCACCATATTTTTGAGATCAGTGAGGATGACCACCCACCCAACACTGTTGGTGACCCACGCCCGCGATAATTGATGAACTTTAGACTCCGCTAATACTTTCGTTTCCCCGGGTGTAAATAGCCGGGGGGGAATTAGTACCCTCGCACGGCGCTTTGCGCCGTTGGCTCGGGGATAAAGAAAGAAATTTTCCGACATTTCTGTGTTGACATTGAGTTATATCAACACGGCTCTTAGCCAATCAGCATTCAGAATTTACAAATGCTATATTATAAAATCTGTTATCAAACTTATGTCACAGAAGTGGTAAAGGACATATGTGACAACTGAATGGTACCTTTTGTAAATGTTTTGGCCAGGGGTGGGTATTTATTTTTTAATTGATATTTGAGGTTGGGTAATTATTTTTTTTTACTTTTTAATGGTTGGGTCGGCAAAATTTTTGCCACAAAAAACATTTCTCTTCGGTGCCACCCCCTGCCTTAAATAATGACCGGTCCCTAATATCTCCAAAAATAAAAGCAAACATAGTTTAAAAATAGCTATTTTATAGCTATTTTGAACAAAGTTCGCCACAATTTTCTATGAATAGGAATCAAATAGCTATTTAAGACCTATTTATTTTGCTATTTAATAACTATGTTAAGAATGGCTCCAAAAAAGATATTTTATACTGTTTTAACTGACTCGTTTGTCATCAATAGGAATTAAATAGCTATTTTATAGTGTGATTCCGTCAATTACTCTTTCAAATAGGATTTGAATATCTACTTCAAAGCTATTTTTTTTAAAAATATATATAACCTATATTTTAAATAGGGTGTAAATAGTCATATACTATTTTATGAAATTTGATAAATAGTAATAAAATAGACATATTTTTGAAAAAATACGGAAAAAATAGGCCTAAATAGAGAAAAAATAGGTATAAAATAGGTTATAAATATGTCGGATTCTACAAGGGTTACACTATATCATGCTTATGGATCAAGGCATCCGGCTCCAACCAACATTTATATGATTTATAGTGCAGATCAACAAATTGGTTTGTACTTGCTATCAGAGAACAAATAAGATTGTTTATAATTTATGATTTATTATAATACGCTTCAGCACATTATATGATTACAATATATATAATTACAATAAAAGTGCTAGGGATATCGTAAACTCCAAGTTACCCCATGCAATTACTGCGGTCCCGCGAACTAAATGAAACATGATGATAATTTTAACATATTATAGCCGATACAAAAGTTAAAGACGACAATTTAAGTACAAGAGACCTAGCCGTTTCCATTTAATATACACATATTCATGCTGGTAGATGCAAGAATGTAAGAGAATGTGAGTGCCAAGAATATAGTATCTAATCGTTCACACCAATTGCCAGAAATTTTCATATGACGTGATATTGTACCCTGCAAAAGCATATCTTCCTTATTTATTATATCGCATGTCTGCAAAGACTTTGGATATGTCCTTTCTCCTATATATAGATGAGGCAATTACCGTATTTAATCGTTTGAGCGCCGCGGCGCTCTTTAAATTATCAGAGCTTCAGATGCGGCGGTCATTCGGGAGCGGCGCTCAAATCGGGGGCGGCGCTCTTTAAAAAAATCTAAAATAAAATAAACAAGTTTTAAATGTCTTTGCCACTACATAGTCCCCACTTTGACGGCGGAAAGTTTTTACACTGTTTAGTGCGGCGCTCATTTGGGGGCGGCGCTCTTTAAGAAAATTTGATCTCAAATGCGGCGCTCATTCGGGGGCTGCGCCCAATCGGGGGCGGCGCTCAATCGAGTAAATACGGTAACTCCAGGATAATTTGCTATCTCTTGACGAATAGACAAATATTTACCTTGTTTGTGATATTCTTGAACCAGTTTGTCAAGCGTTTCAGTTTCGAAATGCAATTGCCCATAGTTTGGTACCTCCGGAGGGAATCCCAGGACGTCCGTTATATTGTTTTTCAGAAATGGTTCTCGAATAGCCATGGTGCCAGAATGAGGGGAACCATCCGAAATAATCTTCATTCCAGTATCGAGTTTAAGGAATTTTGTATTTGCTTCGAACTCCTCAGGATCACTGCCTTTATGTCTTGCACTGCCAGAAAAACCGCGAGGGCAACATGAGGATCCTAGCGGTGTATCAGGCGACAGCTCTAAGGTGTATATATACAACCTTAAAGGATAATCATCAGGATAGTTAGAAATCTCTTTGAGAATAGAAACCATATTTTGATCGCTCGCATCGTGGGCTAGTTCAGTTGCCGTTGTGATGCCTATCATGAATGCATACAAAAATCAAATCTAAGTTTCTAAAATATTCCAACTATAAAATCAACATGCCTGTATCGACTACTAAATACATCCGATTAATTAATGAGTTTTAACTTTGTAAGTTTCTTACAAACTGTTGTTCTTGGATTGATAAAAAGTAAAATTGAAGTGCACGAAAACCTTTGCTTACATTGTAGTTTCCTAACTTCTGTTGTCGATGTTTTTAAATTTTACGCATTCTCATTGGTGTAGAACCAAAATTTAATGAACTGGTTAAGAACAAAATCGCTGCATATATGTTATAATGCATAAGCTTATTGGCAAATCATGTCAACCATAATATGTCACGTGAAGAGGCTTTATACCTGATAAAACTCACATTCATTAGTATTCTTTATATACTGAAAAGTCCATCCTAATTAGTATTCTTATATAAAGAATACTAATGAGACGGCATCTAATGTGTAGTCGTGTCTGAAGCTATTCAAAAACACTTGTAGTCTTCACCGCGGAAAATCGTCTGCGCATGTGCGTGTACTAGAAAAAATGGCAAGGAATTTAAATGCCAAATTGTAAACAAAAGGTTATATGAAGCAAATGTATTTAAGGTTAGTAAAACAAACAAGAAAATACACTAGATGGGTAGTTTAGACATTAATAAAAAGGGTTTTTTTAATCTAAAAATTAAAAATTATCGTTTTAGACCGGGAGGCGTCTGGACATTTCTCGAAAAATTGTCAAATACCGAACTTATATAAGACACAAAAGTTAAGCAAACTATCAAAGAGTTAAGCATTTGCACACGCTTGAATTGTAGAGTAAATCATTACCCTTAAATATAGACAACGCAAAAATTATACATGCTACGCATGAGAAAAATGTGGATCATATGAACCTACGAAAATTATCTTTGTATGGTGTAGAGAATGTTCCCTCCGCTGAACAGATGTTCTCCACAATCACAATAAATCACAATAAACACGCGTATAAAACGTATATAAATCTCTTCGTATTTCTCGCAGTCTCACAATAAAACGCCCTGTTTTCACATGCACTATAAAAACCTATATTGTTTACTTTTATCCAAATGTCAATCATTACGCTAAAACTAATAGATGACCATATTAGGCAATGTTGTTCTCAGTATTCATCTAATTATAAAGTTATTAATCAACTAATCCCAAACATAGCGAAATTAATGTACTAAAGTGTCAAAACTTCATAACACACTCCCCCATGTATGTTCTCGGAGAGATATACATGCCTGCTACATGACACTTTTATCTATGAATCGTTCAAATCGATAAAGTTAATAATTGTTCCTTCCTTGAATTCAGTTGTTTTCCTGCTCGTTCGCCGCCACTTGTTGGATACATAGACGAGCTGCTGCTGCCGCTCCTCTCTTTCCATCTTGGTTCGAATGTCTCCGCGGTTGGATTTAGTGGCGTTGTTGTATCACATGACAATTCGAGCGGGCATAACTGTTGGATCACTCTTTCGAGACTTCCTTTCGCGGTCTTCAGCTTTGCTCCCCTTACGACGTCGTCTCTTCCAACAATAAGGTCCGTCACTATCGCCAATCTCCAATGGTTTCTGTTCTTCTGCTCGTCCTTTATGATCACTGCCTCCCCGACTTGTGGGTGTATTGTCTGTTCGTTACTGGTCGCTCGACGATGTTAAATGTTCTCGCAGTCCTCGTATATACTCCCTACTCCATTGCTTCCACATCGCTTCTTTACACTGTTTGAGAAACCTAGCTCTTCTTCGGAGATCACCATCTTCGATGTGGTGGGGGTCCAGTTCTGGGACGTTGTTATTGTTCAGAGACATGGTGTTAGTACAGGCAGTTCTACGTCATCCTCGACATAACTCAATGGTCGGTTGTTAAGAGCCGTTTCGACGTCGATCACCACTTCCTCCAGTTCATCCCACTTCAATGTGCCATTTCCGATAGTTTTGTAGAACGCTGCTTTGAACAGTGCTATGAGACGTTCAAACCCGCCCCACCACGACGCACGCCTGAGGTTGAATATCCACTTGATGGATAGGTCAGCAAGGTTTGAGTTTAAACGTTCGTCTTTCTCCACCTTCTTAAGCCAAGTACTTGCGGCTTTAAAGGTTGATCCGTTGTCCGAGTATATTATCTTCGGTTTACCTCTTCGTGCGATAAATCTCTTCAAACATGCAATAAAGTCTCCAAGTTCTAGTGACTTTAATAACTCTAGATGGACTGCCCTGGTCAAACTGCACCCGAACAGTGCCAGGTAAGCCTTTTTCTCAGATTTCCCTTTCGTATGATATCGGATTGGACCGGCAAAGTCTACACCTAGAACTTCGAACGGTGTCGATCCTTTGGTTCTTGTAGATGGAAGGGTGCCAGGGGGTGGGGACTGATATGCTTTAACTCTGAATTTCTTACATCCCCAACAACGACCTCGTACTCGTTTGGTCACCTGGCGTAGTCTGGATATCCAGTAGGTTTCACGAACCTTTGCCATAGTCATAGCCACCCCGCCGTGTAATGACAAAGAATGGGCTTGCTCTACCACTTTCTCGGTGTACGGATGGTCGTCTGGCAGGTAAACTGGATACTCCCCTTCGATTCTCCCTCTGCATTCGAAGATGTGTTGATGGTTAGGTTGCAGGTTAAGTTGTAGCTTGTCTTTCTCGAAGTGAGCACTGTTCTGAGCATCTTGCTGAGTTCGCTTGATCCACCAGATCTTTTGCTGCTCGATTTCCGTGGTGTCCAGTGGTCCAAACTTTCGGTTCTTACGCAACTGTCGGCAATTTTGAATAAATCTCCGTACCCATGCTCCGATTCTGTGTACTTTGCGCAGCCCGTGAGACTCCAATAACTTGTCAAAATCGTCTCGAACACGAACTGCCATGGCGAGAACAATTCTGATGGTCACTCTCGTTTCTTTCTCAGTTTCTGGGGAAGCTTTCAAAACGATATCGGATGGCCACTTTGCTGCTTCGCTTAACCAGGGGGGGGGGCTTGCTCCACAACGTATGGCTCACCACGCTTTCTCCGCGACTCCCTAGGTCCGCCGGATTTTCGGTCGTCGGCACGTAGTGCCACTTAACATCGCGATGTTGCTGGATCTTGTGTACTCGGTTAGACACGAACTGTCGGAATTCTCCCTGGCCTTTGATCAAATACAACGCCACGCTTGAATCTAACCAGCAGTGAATGATTGGTGGTGGATGAATACTAAGTGCCGTTCTGACATTGGTCGCAAGGTTTACTGCCATGTGGCCCGAGACCAACTCCAGTCGCGGTATTGTCAGGTTCCGTTTCGCGAGACGGGATCTTGCGCACACAAGTCCTTGTGTCGTCCCCTGCTCTTGCTCGACCACGGCGTAGACCGTCGCTGATACACCATCTTTACTGGCATCACCAAAAGCGTGAAGCGTGACTTCCTTTATTGGTTGTAGGTATGGAGCTAGTGTTCGCGGAATTGTGACATGTTCAGGAAGAGTAGCAGACCAGTTATCCCAACGTTTCTTCAACGGCTTTGGGAACTCCCCATCCCAGGCGACGTTGGACTCGCAAATCTCTCGATACATTATCTTTCCCTGAATCGTCGTCGGTGACACTATACCCAAGGGGTCGTATATCTTTGCTAGAGCCGAGAGAACACCTCTCTTTGTTGAAGCTGATTTCTCTTTACCATCAACGCTCAGGGTATCCTCGTTCTTGTCCCACGGCAGGCCCAATAGTTTGGCCTCGGATGAGTTCGATCCTAGTTGTTGCTTTGCGTATGTTGGTCCCACGTCACTGGTTGATTTAGCGTTGTCGTTTTCGAGCTCTTCCCTATTTGAATGCCACTTATGCAAGGCAAAAATTGCGTTCTCAAACACCTCGGTTGTTGTTGCTTTCTTCTCTGCGACCTCCTCGACGTTGGGCCTCCAACCATCAGGTCGTCTACGTATAGGCCGTCCCGTATCTCTTTCACTACGTCTGGATACTCCAGTTCCCACGACTTGAGATGATGGATGATTACTCCCCCTAGTAGGAATGGAGAACAGGTAAGACCGAAGAGTGCTCTCGTAAACCGATATATCACTGTCTTATCTTGACTGGGTGATCTCCAAAAGAACCTCAGAGCATCCCTCTCTTCTTCTTTGGTCCGGACCTGTAGAAAAGCCTTTTCCAAGTCGCCAGTGAGTAGCACGGGATAAAATCTCGACCTGACCAGGATACTCCAGGGGAGGTTTTGCAAGGGGGGACCAGGGTAGAGACAATCGTTGAGTGATGGATGGTGGTTGGACTCCTTCGCTGAGGCATCATACACTATCCGGAGTTTTGTCGATTCCGCTTCTCGCTTGACAACCGCTTTATGTGGAAGATAAAACTCCTTTTTACTCGGTTCGTCAGGTGCCAGTTCAATCACGCCCTGCTGTAATTGGTCTTGAATTATCTGGTAGCTGTCGTAATTCCCTTCGCGTCGCAACTTCTTCACAAGTTGTTCCAATCTCCTTCGACTTCCTTGCTCGTTCGTTGCTGACAAGGCATGATGTGGCTTCCAAGGAAGGTTCGCTTCATACCATCCGTCTGGGCTTCTTCCAAGTTGCTCTTTGAAATCTTGATAGACCATCTCTTGATCATTTTCTCCGCTGTCTGCAATCCCTAGCACGTCCAGACGACAGAGGTTCTCGTAGTCACTCTGAGAGGTTTGTGTCATCAGAACAGTGGTTTTGTCAAAATCAGCCCCCGGGCTCATCACGAACCACCCAAGTTTGGTCAATTCAGCTACTGGGTCACCGTCCTCACCGACAAGTGGTACAGTTCCGGTTTTAATTCGAGCGTATTCTCCATTTCCCAATATCATGTGAATCGGGAGTTGCTGTTTCGAATCATGATCTGTGATCTCGACTTGTTTCAGGTTTCGTATCAACTGTTCATATCTTGGGTTATCAATCCTCAACAGTTCACCCTTGTTGACTTTTGTCACACGTACTTCCATTTCGTAACTGTCATCCACGGACCCGATCACCACGTCATACGACTCAATTCTCGTAACTCGCGAACTCATAAGCATGTCGATACGCTGGATCTTCGTCGCACTCGGGTTTTTTTTCAGGAGATCGATGAGCTTCGCCGACGCGTATGAACTGCCAGCCCCGGAGTCGACAAGCGCGCGACAGGTGATTCCATCAACGGGAAATATTGTATCACCACTTTTACCATCTGTCATCAATTTCCCATTTTTCACGTTCCCATCTTGAGCTTGTCCGCACAACGAGGTGTGATGGCGTCTCTTACAGTATTGACATGAAGTCTTGCTTGGACATTCCGCGGCGCGGTGATTTCTCGTAGCACAGTTAAAACATAATCCTTTCTGCGCCAGAATTCTTTTCCTCTCGGTGATATCCGTTACTTTGTTACATTCAATAGCTTTATGGTTTTCATCTCCGCAGTAAACACAGCCCTTAACCTTGAAATCGCCGTCTCTTGCCTGGAACAATCTATTGTGGTGGTCCCGTTTCCGTTTGTTTTCCTCGCGCTCTCGTTCAGCGTTCTTGTCAGCTGGATTTCTTCTTACCCATTGGCGTAGCGCTTCAGTTAGCTTGAGGAAATCCCAGGTTTCCAATCGGGATCTGTGCGTACCAAATCTCCTCTAATTGCCGGAAGTTTGTCGAGGGTCATTGAGACATTTCCAGAAACTTGATCCAATCTTTTCATGGTCTCCAGTGCTTGCACCGAATAAGATAATTTTTCATAAAACTCGCCAATCTTCTTTGGACTTGTTATGTGGGGCAGTTCCAATATCTCCTTCACGTATGCTTTCTCGATTTCCGATTCTTTCCCGAACCTGTCTTTTAATATGGATTTTGCTCTGTTATATCCCTCTGGAGTGAACGGAAGGGCTTCGACTACACGTTTCACACTGGGCTCAAGTAATTCACACAAATACGTAAACTTGCTGATAAGGGCTATGGTACTCTTGTCTATACGGCTTCGGAAAACTGTCCCCAAAATCTGGGCCAATCCATATAAGATCCGTTAAATTTTGAGATCACCAACTTTGGAAGCTTTGCGGTTTTCTCAGACACTGTGATTGTAGTCGTATTGGACGTGTCTGGCGATGCATTTGTTGTCAGTTCTGTTTGTAACTTCAACTTTGTTTCGTGTAGCTTTAGTTCGAATTTCAGCTGTTCTTCTTGTGCAGAAAATTTCTCATGTTTCTCCTTGTCTCTCCCTTCGAGGCGACTTATTTCGATATCGGCTTTATTTAATTTCTCGTCAATTTCGTCATGCCATTTGTTTATCTCGGATAAATCTTCCTTATTTGCGAGTTCTTGAGTTCTACGGCTCGTTTACATTCGTAAGTTTCACGTGAAATCGCTTTCAATGCTTCTAGGTGCCGTTTGATTTGTTCTCGTCGTGCAGAAGTCACGTGCAGAAGTTAGCTTCGTATCTAGCGCCTCAGACTCCATCTCGTTTGACATAAAAATACAGCGGTTTGTATTTGATTTTATCGAGTTAAAACTTACCCGATCCGGTCGGAAGGTGCCACGTGTAGAGAATGTTCCCTCCGCTGAACAGATGTTCTCCACAATCACAATAAATCACAATAAACACGCGTATAAACGTATATAAATCTCTTCGTATTTCTCGCAGTCTCACAAAAATACGCACTGTTTTCACATGCACTATAAAACCCTATATTGTTTACTTTTATCCAAATGTCAATCATTACGCTAAAACTAATAGATGACCATATTAGGCAATGTTGTTCTCAGTATTCATCTACTTATAAAGTTATTAATCAACTAATCCCAAATATAGCGAAATTAATGTACTAAAGTGCCAACCTTCATAACACTTACACTGTAAATATTGAAATGTTTTGGTTGTTTCGGTAGTTTTTATTGAAATTTTTCAGCATAATCAGCAATACGATACCTTACTTCCCATCATCCCCTTCAGGCATAAACTAAAAGCTGGAATTGCCTATTAAGACATCTCAGACACATGATATACCAACCGAGGGGCATTTCACTCCAAAAAAGCGTACGGGATTTTCGGATTTTTAAAAATCCGCGGATTTTTTAGCGGATTTAGCGGATTTTCCCGGATTTTTTAGCGGATTTTTGAAGAGAAAATTTGCTGGATTTTCCGGATTTGTTCGGATTTGTTCGGATTTTTTCTGGATTTTTGAAAATCTGTTGGATTTTCCGGATTTGTTTGGATTTTCCGGATTTGTTCGGATTTTATCTGGATTTTTTTTAATTATAGAGTTATAGAGCTAGGTAACGTTTTGAACAAATAATCTTAAGTTGTACGACGTCAACGTTATGCCAGAACGTCAGGGTCGAGCAGAGGACTGGGACTAGGACCACAGCCTTCAGAAACTAACGAAGGCTGGGCATGCAGTCATTTTGTTTAAATTCAAACAAGTTCATTATTCTTTCAAAAACAGTAAAAGACAATGGTGAATAACTTTTGGTTTTGTAATTATATTTTACAACATAACGTCATTGTAACAAGAACACGTATTTAGTAGTAATAGGCTAAAAAAACTTAGCATATACTCGAGCGTATAAATGGAAAAGTAGAGTGGTCCAATAATTACGAAATATAATGACAGCGATCACGGTAAGCGTTTAGCTTTCACTGTCCGCCATTTTGAACGTGGCAAAGAACCTTTACGAGTAAATTACACCAAGTACTTCATATATTTTTTGTGGATTTGCGGATTTTTTAAGGATTTTGAAGGATTTCTGTGGATTTTTGAAGGATTTCTGTAGATTTTTGAAGGATTTTTCGGATTTTGATGGATTCAACGGATTTTGAGGATTTCATGGATTTTTTCTGGATTTTTTCCGGATTTTTTGACGAAGTGTACGGGATTTTTGGAGTGAATTGCCCCTCGATACCAACTATATTACGGTATTGAATATCTTGAGCTTGGAAAGGTCATGTGATACCAGCAGAAAGTAAGTACGCAGATAGCAAGAGTTTCGTGGTACGTGGCTCAACTGAAAACGCGAATTATCGCACCCTGGACAGATATATCAAAGACAATTTTTCGTCGTAATGGACTACAGTACAATTTGGTTCTTTCTTTTGTGACAACTTTTGTGAAGCAATTTAATTCCATGCTGAATGCATGCTTTATTACACAATCTTCAATCCCTAAAAACTCACAACAGTCAACACTCTGTCCCGGAATTTTGGAACATTAAAAATAGCGTGTATCTCATCATAGACTTCGCGGGTATTGCGAATTAACAACTGTATCGCTTGTGGATAATGGGTGCCTGGGTCATCCAGGGGCTTCCACTTACAAAGCCAGCCCCCAGACAAACATACGACTCTCATGGCTTGCAGTTCCCTGCAACCCAGGCATGAGCCCCCACACCAGGCCCAAGCACCTGTCACACTGACTGGGTCAGTGGGAAATAAAAAACAAACAAACAAACAAACGAACAAACGAACACACACGAACACACACGAACACACACGAACACACACGAACACACACGAACACACACGAACACACGAACTTTCCGATAATAAGCACCCAAGTCTAGAAGGATTTCCGAACAATGCGTGCCTGTTGTTTGCGCATGCTCAAACACTAACAGCCGCTGACCTCCTATCGCCATGCGCATGCTGGTATGCCAGAAATCACTGACCATACTATCTAACACACTAACTGCGCTCTTTGTTGTTAACTTAGTTAAATTGCATTTAACTGCATTTAATTTTTCGCGCTAGGCGAACTTTTCTTTTGCCTTTTAATATCCAATTAGTTCCAGATGGTTCCATCGTCCGACATCCTTTCGCTTTCTGTATTCGTGCATTTATCACATGTCTTGCCAAATCTATTATCTTGCAAACTGCCGCCATTTCATGACTTGTTTGTCAGTTGTTAACAGAATTTATTTTTGTACCTTTCCTCTAGAGCGGTTATTGAAAGATATATATTTACTGCCGTGGTCAGACAGTCCAGAATTGGAGGACATAATTAATATTACAGATCCAACCATTTCTTCATTTGAAAATTCTGCTGATGAAACTTTTCCCGGAGGAACAGCATCCCCTGAATATTCCCCAGTAAATTTGCTTCATTCGCCAGAGACATCTACTAGTGACATATCAGATGGTGGTTATGTTTCTAATAATGGTACAACACATCAAATCAGTAATACACCTTCAGCTTCGAGTATTAAACATGGACCTCGGGAATCCGAACTGGTGAAATTACTGCAAGCAAAGCCTGCAATTTATCGTCCACCTGCCATCCAACCTCTGTTACCCGAACAAACACAGGCAGTTGTTTCACCACCCACAACACAAACATTCCAAATACAACCTGTATTACCCGTTCAAACACAGAAGCTAGTTATTTCACCACCCCAACCATCAACTGTACAGATTTGCTCAATATATCCAAGGCCGATAGAAGAACGCCGACATCCTCAGACTCTTTTGACGTTACCTGGGTAACTATAATTTTCCTTCAATAATTATGGGAATGTTTTAAAAATATGTGTTATATATTTTGCAGCGAAAATGAGAACATTCTAGAAAATGGATTGTTTCCCAGTTATTATTCTATACTTTATAACTGATCTACATGATATCATTGATGTTTTACGACTGAGAATTTTCCTCTCGGAGTATGTAATAGCAACTCGTAAAATGTCAAGAGTTTCACCAGCAACTGAGAGTGCCAAGCGTACACAAGTACTGCGTTTCCAGCTATACAGTTGTGTAAAACATTCATAATTTAAGTCGAAAAAACAATGAAACCTTAACTGACCGGTTAAACCGCTGGTGCAGGCACATGCGGTTAGCGCGTTGCTTCTCACTACTGAAAAAGTTAAGCACATGCAGTTAGGACTTGCGTTTCATGTGAGTTGAGTTCTCGTAGTTGAGCTCCAATGCTTCGAGGTTTTTTCTCAGGGTATATCAACACGCTTAATTACAGGTTAAAATATATGCATGTAAGTACTGTAATGTATGTATACCGGTAATTGTTAAACATATCGGGTTAACGCTCAGAGCATAAGACTGAATATAGAGGGTAAACAAGGATACTATATCAAAAATTGTATTAGTAAATATTTCTATAAATGTTTTGTTGTTTAGCATTCCAACAACACAAGTTCTATCACCATCTGTATCCCAGCAAATGACAGTGGCACACCCGCAGGCACAGGTAATTTAGTACTGTAGTTTGGGATAGATTTGATATTACACTGCATGCAACCATATATACTGTATGTCTTCGTCCATGTTAGTGGTTGCATGGTGTGAGAATTTGGGTTGTGAACATATTCTAAATCTCTAATTCTTGCTGCAATTTCAGTTCTCCAACGTTTACCCTTTGGCTTGACGATAATTTGTGATTTTCGCCTTGAGAGAACTAAAACTATATATGGGAATACACTGAGATTATGAAACCCTAAATTGTTTCAACGTCTCCTTAACTACTTTGCCTGTATCTATATATGTGTCTAGTATTTTCTACATTTATTTTTACAATTATAAGGATTAAGTTTTTCATGATTGAGATGACTGTAGAGTCTACAGACACACTATACCTTACCTTACCTTACCTTACCTTACCTTACCTTACCTTACCTTACCTTAGAGCTGTGCAAACTCCAGTTATTTTAGCTCCGGGTCCGGCTCCTACTCCGGCTCCTACTCCAGCTCCGGCAAGGAAATTTTAAGGAAATTTCATATTTAAAAGTATAGACTGAAGGAGGCGAAAGTATTTCAGTGTAATTTCAGAATTTATTTTATTCCTTTTTTGACCTTTCTCCTTCACTTATCAAATATACGTGCTTCAGTGCTTGTTTAAACAATGTTTTGTAGAAAGTAAAACCGCATGGCAGCGTGGTATTTTCGCCCAAAATACATCGGGGTCAGCGGAATTTTGTATCAAAAGCGATAGCAATACGCTTGCAGAATTTTCGAAGCCACGAATCGGAGCCAGTTAAATTAAACTTTATAGTAACTTCAAATCATTCAACTTAATTTTTCCATCACCAAAAGTTAATTGAAATATGAAATAATGTTTAATAATTTTGTCTGCCGGAGTTTTCCAACTCCGGCTCCGGCAAAATATGCCGGAGCTCCGGGTACTCCGGCTCCTGCTCACATCTTACCTTTGAAGGCGGGCTTCGTTGCGCAGTCAAAGCATGGCTGACAGACCGCTAAAAACATGATAAAAAGGCTTTGATTTTGATGGCATTGACGATTGCAACCTGAATACCGAGGGCATGAAAAATGTGGTAACATAAAAAAATGCTCTTTTCACACGGCGACACGCAGTCACAAAGTTTACTTGCCGAAGAAGGCTCAGCCAATTAGAAGGCTCCATTTTAGTTACGGACCTGGAGTTACAGACTGGCAAAAACATGCATTATTTCAAGTACTTATAGTTGTAGCTGCTTTTAAATTTTGTTTCTGTTGCTGTAGATACCTGTATTACAGCTGAATACCACACCAACGTCTGTCCCACAACAATTTCAATTTGTGATTGATCCCAAACAACTTCCAGTAGTTTCAGCAGGTGCCACAAGCTGTACAGTCGGCAATACAGCAGCATTCCCAAAGACTGAACGCCATCGTGCACACAATGCGATTGAACAGAAATATAGAAAAAGTATCAATAACAAGATTACGGAACTGAAAGATCTTCTGTTTGGTTCAGAAGCTAAGGTAGGTGGTTTCTAAACTGCATGCACCATACTTAATTTTATGCAGTGATAAACTAAATATATACACATATATATATTTAAAACTATATTTATTATGGCAAACAAAGGAACTGTGAAATATTTTATTCAGTTCTGGTAAATATTATAAGTACAACTTCATTTGATATTTTGATATTGTACCACTAGTGCATGCATGATTGGGAATAATTTGTTGCATGGGCGTACCGGAAGGAAAAAATTAGGGGGGGGGGCGGAAAGAAAATTGCCCGACTTTTCGTGATTGTGCCCGACTAGTACCGAAAAATTTTTTCCGGAAAAATTATTTTGGCGACCTCCCCCCCCAAAAAAAAATCGCCAAAAAATTTTCCGATCAGTGTACCATTTTAGGGGTCAAAAAATTTTTCCGGACATACCAAAATGTTTCGTCACATTACACAAATTTTCCAAAAACCACTACATTGGCCACAAAATTGACTAAATTTTCGACAAAATTGACAGAATTTGTCCCATTTATTTTTATAACAAACCAAAATTGCCCGACTGTAACTCGAATATTGCCCGACTGCCAAAAAAACTGGGGGGCTACCGCCCCCCCCCCCTCGCCCGGTACGCCTATGATTTGTTGACAAGGTGGTGCATGTGGAGAGGATATATGGGTCAGGGTGTACCACTGGAAGCCGTGTATACCTTTTCTATTATGAAAGTTGACATTATGAAAGAAGGTTATATAATAATAATGTAGGCAGAAGGCCATATATAATGTGGGAAGATTGGATAAAGCATACATTACATACATTACATACATAACATTATTTAGTTCACTCTCCATCGAGGTTTTTTTTTAAGTATTGCGTTATATAGCCTAAGTATCTAAGACTATTTATCTTTACAACAGTTGAGATATTACTTTTCTAACTATGTTTATCCTAACCCATCCTATATCAACTTTCCCTGTGGGAGGAAACCGGAGCACCCGGAGAAAATGTTGACAGACTGTGAGCCCATGTAACTATATATAGTGAGAATCGAACCCAGGATCTCAGAGGTGAAAGGCGCTTGCTCTGACGTCATCTCGTGCGTACACACGTTACAGTGCTTCCACAACCGCTCGTTCAAAAATCCATTCACAATCTCCAAAATTCCTTTTTTCCCACAAAATTTCCTTGCCACCCAAACGGTGGAAAAAATCAAGAAAGTTCAGGCAAATTTGAGGCAAATGTATCACATTATATAGATCCTACGAGAAATCGAGTATGGTCTATGGCATAGGCATAAGGTCATTACAATGCCTGAAAATTTGGGCAAGCTTTCATCAAGAGTTCCCTTCATGAAATATGTTTATATTCATGCAGGGGAGTAGGGTGTTTGATAATTGTGGAGGGGTCAAATGGCAGAAGGCGCTGAACGACAAATTTTGAAATTTATAGTCTCTAGATCGCCGGGAATGGCATTCTCAGATTCTTCTGTACCTCTTTTGTTAGGCCTATTCTAATTATAAGTTTATTTTTACTGGTTTAAGTGGTTTTAGAAGTCCTTGCAATTTCCTTCAATTTTAGTATTTTTCCTTGCCGTTTCCTTGTAAAACTCATTCCCTGCAAGGACCAATATTTCCTTGCTGCAGGGAAAAATCCTTGCAAGTGGAAGCACTGTTACGTTACTACCTACACTGCTACTCCCGCCTAATTCAATCTTCGATTTATCATTTTGTTTCTACCAACATTTAAAATTTCGTTATTTAGATTCAAAAATCTGGAGTGTTGAAAAAAGCCATTGACCATATTCGACAACTACGGAATCTTAATAATCGTCTCCGACAAGAAAATGCCTCATTCAAAATAAAGCTGCAACAAATAGGTTAGTGAAATAATTAGAATTTGAAGGACTTTTGTAGATGGAAATTTCGAGCTTCCGATTATATAAAATTTTAAGCAGGTTTCCCACTAGGCGGAAGTTTGCACGCGGGGCGGAATTTTTCTTTGTATTTTCTAATTTGTTCCACCCGAGAAATCACAAGACAAAGAAAAATTCTGCTCTGCGCGCAAATTCCGTCTAATGGAAAACCGGCTTTAAGGGCCCATACAGACCGAACGCGATTCGACTACGCGACGCGAATTTTAAGTTTTTAAAAACAAATAAAACCGACAACGGATAAAAATTTTACAAGATACGCAGACCAAATAGCTAAAATTGCTTAAGGCTGTTTTCCACTAGGCGGAATTTTGCGCGCGGAGAGGAATTTCTCTTTGTCTTTTCTAATTAGTTCCACCCGAGAAATCACAAGACAAAGAAAAATTCCGCTCCGCGCGCAAAATTCCGCCTAGTGGAAAACCGGCTTGAAGTGCTTCCGAATATTTGAAAAACATAGAAAAATATTGAAGTTAAGGAGGCTCCCTACAGTTGCGTGCGGGATCTTCGCGGGACCAGTACGTGAACTATCCCACGCAACCGCATGATCAAAACAAAACATTTTCTTTTTAAAAAAAAGCTATTTCTGAAAGGTTTCTAATGGGAAAAAGCGTTGAATAATACTTCGTTTTGAGTGCCAAATTACTTGTGAGTCTATACAGCAATTCTACATATGATACGAATACCACTAGACCAAAAAATAGCTACGAAACAATGTGTTTTAATGTTTTTAAAATATACATTGTCAACTGTAAAACATTTGCAAAATTGCATACAAACGTTTAAAAAGTTGTTTATTTCTCAAGAAAACGTTCACGTTTTTAGTCGTGTTTCTACAAGATTAAAGTGATTATATGTAAACAGAAAAATATTTCAGTTTCATAGCCTAATTGTTCATTTTTAGCAAAAAGTACAAAACCAAACATGAAACAAAAAAAAACACGTCCACCTGTTAGTAGGCTGTTACAGCTCATAGATTGAGTAAACGGCAGGATTCAATTAGCTTCAACCTTCAATCGATTTAATCCTTCACAATAATCCTTGGCTGTCCATAGCGCATTCAAATAAATCGAAAAATTGACAAAAACAAAACAGTAAAAACAACATTGCGGCTCGATTTTGCTGAATGAAAACTCGTTCTGCGCCCGCGTACAATCTTTTACTAGTCAGCGACGCTTTTCAACAGGGGAATTTCTCGAGGAATTTCTCGAGTTACACAAGGCTATTTTCTAACTTTATTTGTATTTTACTCATTAGTTTCATCGGTGACCTATCTTCAAATTTTGACCACGAATTTATTTTGCGGTAAATTTTATAAATTTCAAATTTTAAAAAAATCTGTAGTGTGGAAATTTCGCAATAAATATTTCGCTTTTAAAAAAATCACACACCACAGAATTTTTTTAAACTTTCACCACAGTTGCAGAGCA